TCATTGCATTTGGAAGCTTGTCCAGTCTGCCTCCTAAGACTTCAATCAAATGATCAATATACATCTCTTTAGTCGATCTTATGTTTCCTTTCCACGGGATGATATCGAGAGTAGAACGTCACCAGCTGGTTTTACTTTGCTACGCCAACAGTGACCAGCAAATCGTCTTTGTTGGCGTATTAATTTTTCTGATGAGAAGTATATTGCTATACAGATCTTTCTTTGTTTGGAGATCTTTCCAGAATTTGTGTTCTTTTTTTCAAATAGTTGATATTCAGAATATTTCCAAGCAGTCACCCATCTAGATAATAACTAACCTCGACGTTGCTTAACTTCGATGATCGTGCACGTACCGGGGTTTAACGAGATGTGGCCGTATGCCAGCTTAATATTAAGTGATAGAACATACACTCAGCTTAATATTAAGAGATATATTGGCCGTTTCTCTTTTAGTCTATACACATTTACTTGATTCGTGGAATGGTAAATATCTACCATGATCATCAGGTCGAGCAATCTCCGTATTCCATGACACACTGCTCCAATCCATTCCTGTCGTTCATTGAATTTGGAAGCTCATGCAGTCTGAATCCTGTCTCTTTCATCAAATGTTCAATGTACATCTTCTTTGGACAATCTTGTGTTCTTTTCCATAGTTTCAGAGTATTTCCAAGAGGTCAGCCATCTAGGTACTAACTAGTCTCGACGATCCTTAACTTCGTTGATCGTGCCAGAACCCGAGTTTCAACGTGATGTGGTCGTAATCTAGCTTAATAGTGAGATGGAACGTACTCTCAGATTAATATTAAGAGATATATTGCTCGTTTCTCTTTTAGTCTATACATATTTACTTGATTCGTGGAATGGTAAATATCTACCATCATCATCAGGTCGAGTAATCTCCGTATTCCATGACACACTGCTTCCGTCCATTCCTGTCGTTCATTGCTTTTGGAAACTCGTACAGTCTGCCTCCTGAGTCTTCAATCAAATGGTCATTGTACATCATCTTTGACCGATCTTGTGTTCTTTTGCCACGGGATGGTATCCAGAGTAGAACGTCGCCAGCTGGTTCTACTTTACTACGCCAACAGTGACCAACAAATTACGTACTTGGCGTACTATTTTTGCTGGTGAGAGGTATGTTACCATACAGATATTTCTTTGTTGCGTCATCTTTCCAGGATTTGTTTAGTGCTGCTCGAATCATTCGTGTGTAAGCACCATCGATTTGATTTTCCAGTTTGGCTGTTAGTGGTCAGGTTAGTTTGTAGTGGATACTTACATGTTCTAACAATATATATATATATATATATATATATATATATATATATATATATAGAGAGAGAGAGAGAGAGAGAGAGAGAGAGAGATGGATAGATAGATCGATATTGCACCAAATATTTGTTAACCATTATATTTCCATTTATATTAGCGTTCGATTTTAAGTTGTCTTTATCTTGATGGAAGTATAATTAGAGTTAATATTTTGAGATTTGGTTTGATAAGTAAATTAATGAAGTTTACATGTAATTAGAAGAAGAATTATAATTTCCTTTTCTCAAAACCTCAAAAGGGATGATTTTTAACGAATTCACTTTGAGCAAGTCTATCCCACCACTAAGCCACAAGGGGCTAATGAAGGTGAATTGGAAGACTTAACATGGATCCGGAAAACGAATCCCAAACAGGAAACAATTGATAAACCACCATTACTATTCAAAAGCCCCTGATGTGTTCACTTGAAGATAGGGGAACCTATCTATTCCTATTGAGGAAAACAAAAATTAGATAGTAATTAAAATTATTAACACTACCAATACGAATAAAGTATTTAAAATTAAGGTGAATGAAATAATAGACAAAAAGGAATAATTTGTAATAAGGTTTCAACTCAAATCCAATAAATAATGCAAAATAATATTATTACTAATGTAAACAAAATGTTAAATACGTTATGTAGACTGACGACCGTCCTTTGCCACACTAAAACTTACAACATGGCTCATGAAAATAATTGAAAGCGGGGAAAAATTTGGTCGAACAGAAGTTGTAAAGACAATCGCACTACGATATTCCTTAGTACTGTATTCTTATTTCACATGTTGAAAAAATACTGGGTCAGACGATAAACTAGATCCACGCCATGGGTAAGACCATAAACTACATCCGCGCCCTGGTTAAGACGACAATTTACATCCGCGCCCTGAGCCAGACTATAAACTACACCCGTGCCCTGGTTAAGACGATAAACTACATCTGTTTCCTAGGTAAGACGATAAACTACATTTGCGCCCTGAGTAAGATGACAACTTACATCCGCGCCCTGAGTCAGACAATAAACTACATCCCTTTCCTAGGTAAGACGATAAACTACATCCCCGCCCTGGGTCAGACGTCAAACTACATCCGCGCCCTGGTTAAGACGACAATTTACATCCGCTCCCTGAGCCAGACTATTAACTACACCCGTGCCCTGGGTAAGACGATAAACTAAGTCCAACAGCAATCTTAATTGATAGTGTTCTCAGGTTTGGTTTGGTTTGGTTTGTTTTATGACATATCATCCTCAATGACGATGAGATATTTACAGCTGATAACTATTTTTCAAAGATGTATTGCTGGCATATATATATATATATATATATATATATATATATATATATATATATATTCAAAAAATATATTGCTGGTAAAAAATTTTTTCCTTAAATGTATTGCTGTCAATATTTTTTTTCCTTCAAAAATGTATTACCGATATTTTTTTCTTCAAAATATATTGCTTGTAATTCTATACAAAAAAAATTACCAGCAATATATTTTTGGAAAACATATTACCAGAACTAAAAATCTTGTCGGTATTAAATAACCCATTATGGTTGAATAAAAAATAAGCCAAGCCAAATCGAAATAATCTTGTATTTCTTTTTTTTTCCTTTGTAAAATATTAACCCGCACTACAAGTTTATATGTGTATTATAACAAACCAGTCAAAAGTTAGTTATGGTTGACAATGATTTATTAAATAATGTTTGTTAGAAAATGGTTTCTTTTCAATGTTTTTAGAAAAAGCTTTGATATATTTATAAAATCCATGAATTTTACAGTTCATGAACGAAAACACATCAACTTAATTTATTTGTTTATCGGAGTGGACACATTTTAATCGTGAAACTTAATTAAATTAATAATAATATTCTATCCGTGCACCATCAAAAGTCTCGATGACCAGATCATACCAGTTGATGTTTCCTCTGACTTTGGTTTAACAGTGCAGTGGACCAGACAAATTAACTCTTCAGTACATCAAAAGTCAAACTGGTCCCGCCCGTACCGTTATTACTGAGGCGTCCTTGATTTATTTCTATCACTTCCTCAAGAAGACATCTTGCCTTGAACGCTTATTACGATTTAAACACATCCCAGATTTCAAGTAACAAAAATTGTAATATAAACACTGGTAAAAAAAAAAACGATATTGAGATATTAAGTATATAAGCCCAAAAAACTTACTCCATCATGTCCCCAAGTGATGGCTAAATCGTTCGTTGAAGCAATCCAAGATGTGTCTTGACCAAAAGAGTTGTGAGTTCAATAACTGGCCACGTCTGAGTGACAAAACCTTAACCACTTCAGTTAAAAAATTGAATTAACTGAACCTGAGATATCAGAAAAAAGGTTGTCACGTCGTATTCGAACACTCTACTCATGTGGACTAAATTAAGGGTTCGGTTCGAAATTCCAACGAAGATAACCTGATGAAGGTCGGAGCGTACAACGGGTGTAAACGGCGTTAATATGGCAATAAAGATGGAGACAACAGAAATAGTTACAACGCATCATCTTAGAAATATAGACAGAACATGTTAATAAATATATTATATTTTTCCTAGAGATTGAATATTTTTTTTATTTAAGAATTAAATTTGAATTTTAAGATATTGATAAATATCTTGATCCTATCCCGAATCAAGCAAACATATCAGATGGACATAATCTTCATACCAATAGCTTTAGGGGCAAAGCAAATGGGCCTGAGCAGACTAGAGCGAAAGTTGGGGGAACAGTAGATTGAAAAAGGTGTTAGAATATTCCGCTCAACAGAACGTCCTGGGTATGACGATAAACTACATCCGCGTCCTGGGTATGACGATAAACTACATCCGCGTCCTGGGTAAGACGATAAACTACGTTCAACAGCAAGGCCTCTGATCAGGATGTTTTGAGGAGCGTGGAACCACCTCTTAATTGCTGTTGTTTCCAGGTCCACCCTGACCTGGGGTGGTAGCACCTGTTAGGGTCCCAGCTATGGGCAAATAGTTGACATCCAAACTTATCCAGAAATACTTTGTAATAATAAAAAAAAATATTACCAGTATTAATTTTTGAAGGAGAAAATTTTATCAGAAATTTAAAAAAAAAAAAAGTACTAGCAATACAAACAGCTATACATATTTGAAAGAAAATATTACCACCTATAGATTTCTTCAAGGAAAAATATTCCCAGAAATAGATTTTTGAAGAAAAACATATTACCAGCTATATAAATGTCGTCTGCATTAAATAACCCATTGATACTGATGTGCCGTAAACCAAACCATACCAAACCAAACCAAATCCACGCGACAGCGGTTTTGAAAAAAAAAAGTAGCATCTCAATAAAAGTGATACTGTATTGAACATATTTTCTGTCACTTATGTTATCATGTAGGTCACCAGTCAGTACTTGGCAAATATTCAATAAATGAATTATACGAATGGCAACAACGCCAATAAGCACATCTCTTACAAACGTTCTTAAATTTGCATACACAAAAACTTGAAACGACGTATGTTGTAGTTCGTACACAATACAGTGAAAAGAATTCTTACAAAAATTTGTCTTGACTATATTGGTCCTGTAGATATAGAATAAAAAGATGGCTGCGAATTTCTTTTGTCAAAGTAACAGAAAGATCATCCATAGCGTGGCGCAGGCATAATTCGATCGATTTTGAAACTCAAAGGATTGAATCCGAATTGAATGAAGTGAAGTTGAAGGGGAAAAAAATAGATAAAGAGAAAAAGACGGAATATAGAGAATTGAGAAAAGAGGAGATATAGATGACGTAAATAAACAACAATAACATCAGTAAAGAAAGAGGAGATAAATAAGACGAAGGAAAAGAAAGAAAATGAGAAAAAGAGAAAAAAAGAAGAGAAGGAAGAAATAAGAGAAACAGATAACGTACCAGAGATGATGACATCAATAAAGAAAGGGAAAAGAAATAAATATGAGCGAACGAAATAAGAAAATGAAGAAAGGTGTAAGTGAAGATCAGGAAGGAAAAACTATGAGAGAAAAATGAATAAAAATAGAACAAATTAGAAGAAGAGAATGAGTGAGATTTAAAAAAAAATCTGGAAGAACGGATAAGCTGAAGAAAAGGAAAAGAAATTGGTAGAATTAGAAAACAAAGAGAGAAGAAAACAATGGACTGAAGGGAGACGAAAATGAAAGAAAGAAAGAAAGAAAGAAGGTAAGTAAAAAATGAAAGAAAGAAGATACTAATAGATAATGGGAAGGACTCAAAGAAAGAAAGAAAGAAAGAAAGAAAGAAAGAAAGAAAGAAAGAAAGAAAGAAAGAAAAAAGAAAGAAAAATGATGCTAATAAATAAGGAAAAGGACTCAGAGAAAGAAAGAAACTAAGAAAGAATGAAACAAAGAAAGAAACAAAGAAAAAAATGAAAGGAAAGACAGAATGAAAAAGGAAGAAAGAAAGAAGATTCTAAAAAGTAAGGGGGAAAGAAAGAAAGAAAGAAAGAAAGAAAGAAAGAAAGAAAGAAAGAAAAAAGAAAGAAGGTACTAATAAATAAAGGTAACGACTCAAAGAAAGAAAGAAAGAAAGAAAGAAAGAAAGAAAGAAAAAGAAAGAATGAAACAAAGAAAGAAACAAAGAAAAAATGAAAGGAAAGACGGAATGAGAAAGGAAGAAAGAAAGAAGATTCTAAAAAGTAAGGGGGAAAGAAAGAAAGAAAGAAAGAAAGAAAGAAAGAAAGAAAGAAAGAAAGAAAGAAAGAATGGAAGAAAGAGTAAAAAATGATTGAATAAAGATACTAATAAATAAGAGCAAGGACTCAAAGAAAGAAAGAAAGAAAGAAAAAAGAAAGAAAGAAAGAAAAAAGAAAGAAAGAAAGAAAGAAAGAAAGAAGGTACTAATAAATAAAGGGAACGACTCGAAGAAAGAAAGAAAGAAAGAAAGAAAGAAGGTACTAATAAATAAAGGAACGACTCGAAGAAAGAAAGAAAGAAAGAAAGAAAGAAAGAAGGTACTAATAAATAAAGGGAACGACTCGAAGAAAAAGAAAGAAAGAAAGAAAGAAAGAAAGAAAGAAAGAAGGTACTAATAAATAAAGGAACGATTCGAAGAAAGAAAGAAAGAAAGAAGGTACTAATAAATAAAGGGAACGACTCGAAGAAAGAAAGAAAGAAAGAAAGAAAGAAAGAAAGAAGGTACTAATAAATAAAGGGAACGACTCGAAGAAAGAAAGAAAGAAAGAAAGAAAGAAAGAAAGAAAGAAAGAAGGTACTAATAAATAAAGGGAACGACTCGAAGAAAGAAAGAAAGAAAGAAAGAAAGAAGGTACTAATAAATAAAGGGAACGACTCGAAGAAAGAAAGAAAGAAAGAAAGAAAGAAAGAAAGAAAGAAAGAAAGAAGGTACTAATAAATAAAGGGAACGACTCGAAGAAAGAAAGAAAGAAAGAAAGAAAGAAAGAAGGTACTAATAAATAAAGGGAACGACTCGAAGAAAGAAAGAAAGAAAGAAAGAAAGAAAGAAAGAAAGAAGGTACTAATAAATAAAGGGAACGACTCGAAGAAGAAATAAAGAAAGAAAGAAGGTACTAATAAATAAAGGGAACGACTCGAAGAAAGAAAGAAAGAAAGAAAGTATCGAAACAATCACAGCATGAATGAGGAGTAGAAATTAAAAATGAAAAAAGAACAGAAGAAAATAAAGCGGTTATGAAAAAAAAAATGGAGAAATTCGAAAAAGTAGCAAGGAATCGAAAAAGAGAAAGAATGAAACCCGGAAAAGTAGGCTGTGTAAAACATAATGGGATAAATAAAATGAAAGAAGAAAGACAACAAAGAAAGAAAGCAAAAAATGAAATAGGAAAATTGCAAAGATGAAAAGGTAATGAAAGTAGAAAGCAAATAAATTATAAGGTATGAAAAGTAGGAAAAGCAATAAAGGTGAAAGAAAAAAAGAAGAAATTTTAAAGGAAGAAGCATTGATGAAAGGAAGAGAAAGAAAGAAATTGGAGAAGAAATGTATGGAAGAATATTGAAGGAGAAAAATAAGAAGAAAGTTGTATACCTAAATAAATAAACGGAAAGAACAAAAGAAAGAAAAAAGAATGACTAAATAAAAAGAGAAGGAAAGCTGTAAATCTAAACGTGATTCAAAGAAGGAAAGAAAGAAAAAAGAAAGGAAAGAAAGAATGAAAATAAGAAGAGGAGGAATGCTGTAAATTTAAATGAAATTCAAATAAAGAAAGAAAGAAAGAAAATAAAATTAAAAAGAGAAGAAAAACTGTATCTTTCTATATTTCTGAGATGAGGTATTATGTACACTATTTACATTATTCGGACTATTGTCCTCATCTTTGTTGCCATAACGTTTCGGCCTATGTACGCTCCGGCCTTTTTCAGGTGATTGGAATGTCGAACTTATTTCGCTCACTGATGTAGACTGTTCTAGTTACACGTGCGATGTTCAATGGATGTCAGTTTTCAGATATCTCCTGTTTAATCCCCTCTCCAAGTCCTCAAAGACACATGACAGAGTGGATAAAGGTGTTAGTTAGATCCAGTGACAGGACTCATAGAGTGTGAGTTCAATACCCGGTTAAGGCAGTGGAGAACTTGGAGAGGGAAATTAACAGGAGATAACTGACATCCATTAAACATGGCACGTCGAACTAGAACTGTCTACCCCAGTGAGTGAAATAAAGGATACAATTCAACATTCCAACCACCTGAAGAAAGCCGGAGCGTACAACGGCCGAAACGTTGTAATAAATATGGCGACAAAGATGAGGACATTAGTCTGAATGATGTAAATAGTGTGGAAGGAAATCTGTAAATCTAAACGAAATACAAATAAAGAAAGAAAAAAAAGAATGAAGGAAGGAAAATAAGAAGAAAATGTATACGAAATGCAAAGAAAGGAAGAAAGAAACAAAGAAACAAAGTAAAAAGAAAGAAAGAAAGAATGAAGAAAGGAAGGAAAATAAGAAAAGAAGGATATCTGAAAATCAATACAAAATGCAAAGAAAGAATAGAAGAAAGAAAGAAAGAAAGAAAGAAAGAAAAAGAATGAAAGAAAGAAAGAATGAATGTAGGGAAGAAAATAAGAAAAGGAAATCTGAAAATCTATACGAAATGCAAAGAAAGAAAGAAAGAAGGAAGGTCTGAAGGAAAGAATGAAAGAAATTAAGAGAAGGAAAATTGTAAATCTAAATGAATTTCAAAGAAAGAAAGAAGGGAAATAAGAATTGAAGGAAAGCAATAATTCTAAACGAAATGCAAAGAAAGAAAGAAAAAAAAACAAGAAAAACTATGAAAGTAAAATTCGGTTAAAAACAAAATGAATATAAATAGGGCGAATAAAAAGAAACGGAATCTGCGAGAAAATGAAAAAAATATAAAAGAAAGGAAAAAAGTAAAGCATAAAGTCAGGAATGAAGAGTTAAAAAATAAATCAATAAAGGAAGAATTTAATAAAAAGAAAGTTTAAAAAGGAATCTTTGCAACGCGTAATTAAAAAGTCGAAACTGAAAGATAATAAAAAAAAATCTTGGCAAGAAAAGCAAAAAATGCAAATGGCGCCCAACAAAAGACGATACGTTAACGCAGGAAGTAACATTTCAATTCGAAGATTTTAAGCGGGAAATTTGCAAATGGGAATAAGTATGTATGAGATTCAAAGAGAAGAAAAAAACTTCGTTTTCAAGGTCAAGTAACGTGTTTATTTTGGTTTTTTTGTTTTGTTTTTTTTTCTTCTTTGTAAGTATGTTGAGATTTACACAGACGGTGATACGATACGATGCAAGAAAAATACATTTTAATGCGATTTTACGACAATTTCAGAAGACAACTTAACTTTCCCATTCTTATTACAACAGTGCCATTGTGTTTGCGGAAAGCGAACAAATAGCCCCAGGAGAAATAAAAAGAAAATAGATTAAATAATAAAACGGTAGATGATGTCATCCACCCAAATAATGCCGGAGAGAGAGACAGTGTGTGCGTGTATGAATATTCAGAGAGCGGTTTCATGATGTCCTTTACTTTATCTGTCTATATCTCTGAGATTAGTATAATGATTACTTAAATTATTTACATTATTCGGACTGTTATCATCATCTTCATTGCCACATTCACAACGTTTCGGCCTCAATATCTCTGAGATGAGGTATTATGATTAATTTTATTATTTACATTATTCGGATTGTTATCATCATCTTCATTGCCATATTCACAACGTTTCGGCCTCTATATCTCTGAGATGAGGTATTATGATTAATTTTATTATTTACATTATTCGGATTGTTATCATCATCTTCATTGCCATATTCACAACGTTTCGGCCTCTATATCTCTGAGATGAGGTATTATGATTAATTTTATTATTTACATTATTCGGATTGTTATCATCATCTTCATTGCCATATTCACAACGTTTCGGCCTCTATATCTCTGTGATGAGGTATTATGATGCCTTGCATTATTTGCATTATTCGGACTGTTATCCTCATCTTCATTGCCATATTCACAACGTTTAGGCATCTATATCTCTGAGATGAGGTATTATGATTAATTTTATTATTTACATTATTCGGATTGTTATCCTCATCTTCATTGCCATATTCACAACGTTTCGGCCTCTATATCTCTGAGATGATGTATTATGATGCCTTGCATTATTTGCATTATTCGGACTGTTATCCTCATCTTCATTGTTATATTCACAACGTTTCGGCCGTTGTATACTCCGGCTTTCTTCAAGTGATTAGAATTTCGAAGTGAACCCTTTATTTCGTCCACCAGGGAAAGATAAGAAAAGAAAAAGGAGAGGTGTATATCCTAATCGTACAGATACAAATGAAAATGAAAGAGAAGAAAATGAAATAAGAAGTTGTTGATACCAGATTTAGCTAATGAAGACACGTTAAGATGGGAAATTTAAAATTGAACGCATATATAACGTGACAACAACGGAAACATTTCGCTGGTTCCCCGACTTCATGAATTTAAGCGTTCTACTCGACTGGCATCTCGAAACCCTTTCACTGTCGAAACTGTTAAATGTAGCCGTCTCTTCTACTCCAATAGCTTCATTTCTGTCACCTCTCGCCTGTGGAACTTCCTCCCCTTTTCTTGTTTCCCTGATAGCTGTAATCTCCAACTATTCAAATGTAATGCCAATCGACGTATCCAGATGCCCTGATCTATCCCCTATCCTTCTCTTCATCCTTTCCTCTATCACTCCTATTTGCTCTAGCTCCAACTCTCTGTAACCCCTTGCGTGCTAGTGGCTTCCCGCCTTGCTTGTGGTGAAACGCTTACAAAAAAAAAGATACAATGCAACAATTCAAACTTTATGATCTCTTTTTTCTCTCTTTCCTTTCCCTTATATTTATAGTGAGGTTGAGTTACTATGCTTTCTTATGACTTTCCTCTTTTTTCCTCTTTCTTTTTTTCTTATTGATTTCTTGTTTTTGCCTCATTTTTTTTTACTTTAATTTGCTTTCATTCCTTCTTTTCCTTTTATGAAATGAACAATTTTCATATCCTCGTTTCTTTGCATTCTATGGAATAATTTCCAAAATTTAAAAAGTTGTGACGTTGAACAAAATATATATATATATATATATATATATATATATATATATATATATATATATATATATATGAGAGAGGATATATATATATATATATATATATATATATATATATATATATATATATATATATAAACACGACCATATCAATCACACTATTACTCACCACCCTCTATGTCAACTTATATAAGCTTCATACTGCCAGTCAAAAGTGTTAATTTTAAATTCAGTTTTCGTTTCACCTTTTGAATGTGAAGTCTGAAGATCCAAAGAAAAATAAAATTCTTTGTTGAAATAAAGTATTAAAATGGAGTCTGTAAGTGGTCTGTCTTTCTTTAAATTAAATTATTCCCTCTGAATTAACATTGAGCTCTCTGGATTTCATCCCCCTTGGGATTATCCATACGGATTACCACGATTTTCGTTACTTATATATATATATATATATATAATTAATGAACAATATAATCCAACATCGTCTGTCATATCAACCCCGGTGTGGTATGAGTTCGTGTCAGAAATAAAACATCAGCTGCGAAAGCTAAAAAGCACTCAACTACTCGAAAAACTAATACATATTTTATAAATTTCAACATTTGTGTCAGACGAAAGGTACGAGACAGAGGTCAGGTGAGAGTGGAAGTTATTTGTCTTAAAGGGAAGAAATTTTATAAAATTAAACCTGAATATTAACCTCACGACATTAATTTGGGATTATCTGAAGAATGAAATATGAATTCAAAATGAAAATAGAAATAACAAGTTAATTAAAAATAACTACAAAATATATAGATAAAATGATGTAAGGGATTACAAGAAAGAGAGTTAAGGAGATCTTAGAATAGTGGAAAATTTAGAAAATTTATTTAATATAAAGAGGTTATAGAGGGGGGAATATAGAAATTAGAATTATCCATACTTTTGAGATTTGAAGAGTTAGCTAGGAGTTAATATTAAGGAAATTTATCATGAAATTTCTATGGGACGAACAACAAACCTTGTATTGAACCCTCCTGTAATTATAGGTTGAAAGAAAATTTCCCAGTAGAGTGCAAGTGCAGATCTACCAGGTTTATAATATCAAGCGATCATTTCCAAAGAAAATTTGAAAAATTATAATGTTTACATTGGAATTTACCCGGGTGAATGGAAAGAGTGATTTTACAACCATAGGCACACATTTTCTAACCCAGACTAAAACACCAAACGGCTGTTTCAAAAAAAAAGGAGAAAGATTTGAGCTCACACATACTTTGGAAGTGTAAAAGTTCTTAACATACACCTAATAGTCTTAGAGATAGATGTGAATTATGTTTAGGCGAAAAGATTAGAATAATAAAATGCAATAATCGAGGAGAATAATTTCCCCCTCTAACTCTTCAAATCTCAAAAATATAATTCAACCTATTTCTATATTCCCCCTCTATAACCTCTTTACACTATGTTAATTATAATTTATAAACTTTCCATACTTTAATATCTCCCCAAATCTCTTTCCCTTACATTTTTTATCTGTATATTTTCAAGTTATTTTTAAACCTCATTTTGTTTCTCTTTTAATTTTAAATTAATATATCTTTCTTCATATAACATCAAATTAATGTCATAAGTTTAATATTCAGGTTTAATTTTATAAAACTTCTTCCGTTTAAGACAAATATCTACCAGCCTCCTCTAGACCCTGTCTTGTGATTTTTGATTAATTGAAACATTGATTGACTGTTTTGTTTTTTGTGTTTTTTTTTTAGCTTTCTCAGTTAAATATTTTTCTCTGATACGAACATAGTCCACTCCGGGGTTGATAAGACAGAGGACCAATAAATTCGTGTGTTGAAATAGGCTATTCCTCATATCAGGAAATTTTGGATTTTATTGTTCATTAATTATATTTCTCTCGTACATTCATATCCTCTCGATGCGTATATAAAAAAATGATGTCACACATTAGGAAATGGACAAATTCCGACAATTATTTTATAATATTTTTTTTATGTTTATACGTTCTTTTTATAGATAAAAATATTTAAGTAAATGCTCTGTTTGTTATAAACTGTAGTAAACAACATTTACCGGCCTGAATGTACGAGAAATTTTCATAGAAAATATTCGTTCACCGATAGGATTCGAACATGTATCCTATACGGAAACGTTATTTCGCCTGACGTTTATTGGCCTGAATGTCCGATTTGGATACGCATCGAGCAGATATGAATGTACGAGAGAAAACCATAGACAGTTGTAGCTTAAAACAGTAAAATCGACCTTGCTAACCGAAACGCTCCTCTGTGGCTAAACCGGTAAATCACGTCAGGCTATATGACGGTTCCGTATAGGACACAGGTTCGATTTCTGTCGGAAGACGAATATTTTCTATGAAAATTTCTCGGACATTCAGGCCGGTAAATGTCTTAAAATAATTGTCGGAGTTTGTTCATTTCACTATATATACACACATATATATATATATATATATATATATATATATATATATATATATATATATACACGCATTGGGTTAAATCCGACAAACAGTTTTATTATATTTTCTGTTTATACGTTATATTAATGTATAGAAGTCAATGACAACATCTCAGTAATATGAACTTTGTTAATCGGGAAGTTCTCCGTGGCTGAATAGTTATCAGCATGTCAGGATATATGATAGGTTTTCTTATGGAATACAGGTTCGATTCCTGTCGGAGTACCAATATTTCTACGAAATCTCTTGAACATTCCGACCAGTAAATGGAATTAATATTGTTTAATTAAAACAAACCATTTACTCAAATACATGAATTATATATTATATATATTTAGGAATCGGAGA